TGGTTGAAAATATTCCAAATTAGGTTCAAAGTCAGATGACGCAATCAGTCAGTTCCGCGGCATAGAAACAACGGTCGAAACTACAAGACTCCGTCATCAGCCATAGCTCGACATCTGATGACGCAACACCAGATCGACCGAAGCATGGCGTTTCGCATTATCTACAAGTCACAAATCGCAAGATTGCTACGGTTTGCAGAAGCGATTGCTATCAGTCGATGGAAGCCCCCCTTGTGTCAACAAAAAGAACCTTATGTTAGTTTATCCTTACCCTGGTGACAGTCGTTTTAACCCCTCCCCCCCTTTTATGTTTGTCTGTTTCATTACATTTTACTCTTCTTTGTTTCCATGCTAAATTCCTATATAATTGATGTTTTTTTTCTGCACTATGCACCATTTTGAGATGCAGCGAAATCGTCCTGACCATAAATCGTGCAGTATTGCAATTTGGTCCTTTCTTTTGAAATAATAATTGCCTCGTTATTTTCTTCACGTGAACATGCAACGGGACAGCCAATTTTCAAGGGAAGGTTATGACCAAACAAAGGTTGTCAGGGGAGATTCATAAACAGGAAATCTGAAACACTTCGAAGGGATTCGAATTCAAGACTTCCGACTCGATTCTAATTGCTTAAAATTATCCACCTATTATTCGCTCTTCCCCCTCTACTGTCCTCAGTTAGTAGAATGCATCCTGGTGACAGTAGGGTTCTAAGATTCCCTCAGCAGACCTAATATAAACGTGAGTTTCTCGGGAACGGAGAACACTAGGGAATTCCCTGATTCTCTGAAGACGGCACTTCTCGAAGTAATTTACTTTGTCCTATCGATTGTTTTTCCCTTTTGAGGCTGCCAGTTTTAACAAACTTTAAGGTACATTGTGATCTTTGGGTCCACACTAAGTGCACATTTTCTTCAACTTGTAGAGTGTTCTCAACGCTATTGGATATATGTTCACTTTATGCAACTACGAACCTTAAACTTTTGGTCAGTTGCTTTGATTGCTGTCTTTCATCTTCCTGTTTAGATGAGTGAATAGTAGAAATAATTAGAATGCTGAAAACATCATCATTGAAAAGACAGAGAATTCAGATCGACTAAGGGTACGGTTAAATTAAGTGTATGCACCGGTGCTACTGTTTAGGACGCCCAAACATACCAATCTGTAACCATCAATTACACGGATCTCGATGTTCCCATCCACGAAGCCTAAAGTGACCTATATGGCCCAGTCTCCTGATTAGGAGGCTCATAGCCCCATGCCAGGCTTTAGTCTGATAACCCTTGGTTTTATTCCACTCCTCGCTTTCTTCAGCAAACACCGCAGGAAGCTTATCCCGTGACGTGCGTAACACATGCCTCAACCTGGAGGTTACCATTTGGTTTCTGTTTGCTTAGTTTAGAGTGATCGTTAGCAAAAGTAAAATATTTACAGCCATGAGAACGTATTATTCCGTAGTCAGTAGAATTCGACAGTCTGAATGTTTTCTTTGCCGTTTGAGCGCCGAACCACATAAGTTTCGAATAGTTTCAACTTGACTATCTACTGAGCTACAAAGAAGGTATCTACAACGATTTCTGTTTTCGTGGCCTCTTTGTGGACTGGCTTAATCAAACATTTAGACAAATTCAATTCTTTTTCATCTCACATGAGCAATGACAGCTGTGCGTCAACTCTCTTTGTTAGTGCGACGCAAGTACGCTTTAATAAGAGCGCACCTCGTGGTTCATTCGAATGTAGGTCCCCACAGAAAAATGGCTGGTAAGAGCTTTGCAGCTGTTTGTAGTTGCTAGGATATTACCATCAGAAAACACGTGTTCATTAGAGAAATCATTGCTTGGAATATCTGCAATATATACCTAATGGTTGTTTACACTTAGTGAAGGAAAAAAGAAAAAATAACGTCTATAAATTTCGACATGTTTTTCCATACAATATATTAGGGGCTTGTTTTCATGAACGCACTTTTGATCGTTATCTGTTCGTATTATCCTGATCATTAAGGTGCCTGGTATCGGTCACGTGACCGAGCGTCGTCTGGACGCGTTCGGCATTCACACATGCGGCGATCTGCTCGCCAAGCGCGGTGTACTTTGGCATGTGAGCAGTCGATCCGCAATGAGTTACTACATTCGTATTGCTCTTGGTCACAGTGAAGACGATTGGTTGCCCTGCTCCGATCCCACGTTGGTTCCAATTTTCACTCCATCCGGTGCTTGTCACGCGTCCGCACTGACCGATAGCGATTTGAATCAAGGACGTGCGGAACTGGATCGAAAGAGTATGAGTGTGGAAAGGTCGGTCTCGTTTGGCATTTACGATGTATCTCATCCTCCGTTTCTTTGGTTGTCTTATTTCGATTCCTTTTCTGAGTTGCACTAGTTATTTCATCCCTTCTTGTTCCTTCTTTTCTATTTGCCAAAAGAACTCGGTTTTAATGCAATGGCAGTAAGCAAATTTTGCACTGATTTAAATAATTCCCTTCGTGGGGTAATCGAAGTTCTACATTAATCACGAATTTCAGGTAGCCCATATGAGTGAATTTTTTTACTTTGACAACAAAAAACGAAAGACGACTCATGTCTCGAGATGGTAACATTTCGTTTAATCTCGACTATTGCCGTAAAATAATCAAATGGATAGGAGCTAGAATTAAAAACAAGAGGTCAACACAGCAAGTGAACTGATTGCGTCAACAACTTTTGGTGCAAAAAACGGGATGATGTAATCGGATTAGCAACACCTCACTAATTGCCAATGCGCTGCATATGCGTCTGTTTGTTTTAGGTCAGCGATTATAAACACTAAACAAAGTGGTAACATCTCGGGATATGTGCCCTCTTTAGGTTTTCATTCGAAAGATAAGGGAAGGGACAGTGTTTCCGACTTTTTTAATTCGGTAGAAAAAAAAGTAATTGAGGAAGGATTTCCACATGAGGATAAGGCAGCCGGGTTTTCACTTTTTGACAGACGACTAGCCTTCTGTTCGTGTTCGCAAACCCAGTCTGGTCCGGATTGCATGCGTCCGACAGAACTACTGGTGTGAGCAGTATGAAGATTAGATATGCCATTAGTCGCGCGCTAATACCCAAGCAATCGTTATGAATTGCGATACCTCTGATTTTCTAGGCACATTTGACGTACGTTTATTCCGTAAGTTAGATGCAATCCACGAATAATTATCGTGAGTTTGGGTGCCTTTACTCCCATATTCACTCTCACACTCAGTCATTCATCTCATGCGTCACTTCATTTCCCTCCGCAATGCTTCGCTTTTGTCTTGATAATGATCACCAAATGGCGTCCCCGTTCCGTGAATCCCCACTTGTTGATGAAACCCATTAACGATGAAAGCATTAATGTTGTGCTCGATTGATAAGTGTGCAAACAATAATGGGATGGTTGGTGTTTGTTTTTGATGAGATTTGTACGGCTTACCGGATGTTTGTTTGACTAACATGTCAGATTTGTTTGTGCCCTTCATTCTCATTGTGTGCAATTCTGGTTCAGTGGATTTCAGTTGGACTGTGTTTGTGGTATCTCTTCATACATTCCATCACCCACGCGTTCATGTACATCTTATTTGTAACCTCTCAGGACTTTCTCGGACTGTTCGGAACCGAGAGAACTGTTCGAACGCTGTCGACAGCTGGCCGCGATGCTATCTTCCGATCTGAAGGAAGAACATGTGAAGGTCAGTTGACTTTCTCACAGTTGTCCCCTCCCCCTTTTGAAATGCACACTCACATGGGTCTTGCTCAGGCTTCAAGTCTCTACACTTTTAGTTACCGGATATTCACCTTGATTGCTCATTTTTTGTGAACCATTCATCTTCGAACATGCCGCTGTTTGTTGGTATTCACCCCAGTCGCGTTTGGTCACTGTCCGTCAGGGTCGGATGAGTTGAACCAGCTTCCAAAAGGACTTCTTTCACAGGTGATGGACAGACACTAGATGGTCNTCAGCCTACGAGTCAGTGAACAGTTATGAATGTTTTGACTAACAGATTGCGATATGAAAACGGGTTTACATATCGCTGTCGTTCAACAGTGACACAACTGCCGAGACGGTGACACGTAACTGAGTGCTATTTTAGAAAAAAACATTACACAGCAAAACTGCGCATTGTGTTCATCTCCAGACCAATTTCGTGTTGTCAGCTCAAAGATAAATTGCTTGTGATCACCAATCAGCCTGGTTGAATGGTGGAGTAATTAGGACTACCAACACCTAGTGGGATCAAGCCACGTAGTTGATGTGGTCGAGGCGTTTCGACTCGTCTACTTCGTTCGCAGTCGTCGACCTAAGAGGATTAGGAGTCACATTTTGACCCCTCCCCCCTTTTCTCCTGAAAACAATTCTTAAGAACACTGAGTCTTCCATGACCAGCACCATACACGACACAGTCATCTCCCACCCATCCCTAATGACCCTAACTAATGCGCACATGCGAGGACTAAAGCGTGGGCAGCATCCGGTCAGGGAAAGGGAATGTTGGCTATTTCTCTTCCCCCTCCCACCCTTCCTCCCTTATTAAACAATTTGATACAAATTGTGATGTACTGGCCTGCAGAAGAATCACCGCAAACGAGCTTGCTCGATACTCTGTGTTTTTATACAAAGTTATTTAAATTGTTTTTATGTCAATTTTTTTTTCCAAATTTTCTGTTGTTCACAAAAAGTAATGTTTTGAGACTGATTTGTCTTTTCTTCAGGGCCGGCATTTGACTCTGAAAATGAAACTGTACACATTTGAGAATCGTTCACGATCGCAGCTATTACCGGACTATACAAATGAGACAGAGGTGATAGCTACTTTTGGTGTGGAATTGTTGCGTGAAGAAATGACGAACGAACGAACCGGAAGCGGTCATCACAATCCAATCGCATCCACTAGTCAACAGCGGCCGGGCAAGGAAAAACCAACGAAACCGTTGACATTACGTTTGATGGGTAAGTGCCACAAATAAGTGCAGTATTCATATGTCTACGTAAAGCTGGAACATTTGGGTGTTTTATTTGTTCGATGGTCATATGCGTGTGCTAAACACTATTCCCCGGTATCCATCATTGTTGGTAAAGATAGCACGTTTGTACGGATTGAGGATTCCAGTGACCATTAAACCCACGAAGCTTCTCCGTAACACTCAGTACATCGTGACTATGAGGCAAGTCGCGCAGGTAGATTTCCGCGTTTGAACACTGAACAGATTGATGAAAATGGTTATAGGTATTCGAGGAGGTAGCACGCAACCGGATACAGCAAATGAGATGATCCACACTCTGCTTTGTTCACACTCTTGTAGAATCCTCTTTAAAAGTGTTCAATAAAAAAAAAATTCCAAACGAATACACTAGCCTCTTGGCAAATTCACTATTTTTCTTTTTCTCACTCCCCAACATGTTTGTCCTCGTATTTACTCGGTAGCAGTGCCTGTTTGACAAATCACTTCGTACACTGAATAAAATCAATACCAGCCTGACATGAGGTAAAACAAAATCAAAGTTTTATTAATGGAACTGCTTACAAGCGGTAGCTTTTCAAGTCCCATACGGTTAAGCACAGATAAATTGATTTACGGTTCATAGAAAGTAAACGAATGTCACAACTTATCCTTGTTTCCTGTACTGCTACGTCTTGTTCGTTTCAAGATCACGATTCTCATTTGGTGAAGTGAATTATCTGCAAAGACTTCCCCGGTGGTTCACGCCACCTTAACTCTGTCTGACATATTCTTATTTCAAAAAACGCGAATGAAAATCTGGTGAGAAATTGTTCGAGATGCTTTGTTATAGCAACTTCACGACATGTCTCAGTTTATTGTTCAAACTTTGTCCTCAAAAAACATATTTTAGGTTCAACAAATACTACCTTACGCCACACAGTATAATTTGCTCTAACCCTCGCTCAGTATGTGTTTTCGCTACACATTTTCATTCAAGGTTTGCGTATGGCTTCACTGATGCCGGTTGAAATGTGTCCACAGGTTCGACAGCGCAGTATTGAGGAGGCGTTGACCAAAGTGGTACAGATGCAACCGAGCAATTCAGAGCCGTCGAAACGAGAACCGACTACGCAAACCGATTCCATCGTGATGGGATCTGTCGTTACTACATGTCCTTCTCTCAAAATAGCCATTGGTCACGCCGTTACATCAGTTGCTGTAAAGAAGTCCAAGCCCAGGCCAAAACACTCGAAATCGTTGCTTAAATCACGTAGTGGCCGTCATTCGTCAAAACGGCCGAAAAGCCTAACAAAATGGGCACCACCAAAAACGTCGGTTCAATCGGGACACAAACCCATAACCGGGGTAAGTTTACATTGTGATTTCCGGAGTTTTATGCAAACACACGTCATCCACCGTGATGTGATGATGATGATGATGTTGATGAAGATTTTCTCCCAGGTGGTCCCGGTTTGATTCCCGGTGTGGAGCTACCATTTACTTTGGGATGGAGGACACCCCTGTGAAAGCCAATAGATCACGGGGAGACGAGGTCTACAGAAATGCATAGAGCTATGAGGTAGAGTAGTCTGTCGACGTCCGAGAGATTCCGCAACTGGTTGGTGGGAGGGGATCAAAGGAAATGGCGGCGCACCGAAATCAGTGGTGTGCTTGTTGTAATCTCTTATCAGATCAGAATGCTTGAAAGAGTATTTATGCACACTTCGATTATGTACTCTATGTGTTGATCCTAGTGATTCACTTTCCTCCCTCTGTCCACCTTACATCAGATTTCAATGTATGCATTTCGAGGCATAGGCAGCTATCCGTGAAGTTCATTTCACTGTCGTTCGACGGTGATGATGATGCCACAACCGATAGCTTGTAATCCAACCGCAAATAATGCTCATTTTATCTGATAAACACCTTATCAGTCACAACCATTCATTTGCTCCTATTGCTTATCCTAGTCGAAGTTTACCGTTTTTTACAAACCTCCTTCCTTATCAAATTTCGAGGTATTGAAAGAAAGCAGTTATCTCCGCTATCTTGTTTTCCATTACATTGATTTACCTGTTTGAATTTATTTTTCTACATGGTCATTTATGTTATGTGTAACGGACTCTTTTGAAGGAAACATTGACTGAACTTTGTAAACAATTGCCAATCCACCTCCGATGTGAATGAAAATTTCGCTTGTCTGGGGTGGGGTGGGGGGGATGGTGAGAGGGTGTGGAGCATGACAAAATAAATGTGGTTAGTGTAGTATAACAGCAAATCCGTTTACATATAACTAACCATTGAATGTCCCCCCCCCATCTGGTCCCATTGTCACTGCGGCTGCTACACATTTGGACGAATAAATAAAACAAATACTGTACTGCACAACAGTTTTTCTGTAAACATTACTCAGCTATCGTTTAAGTAACCCATCGAGGATCTAACGTGGAACCATGAACTAATTCATGTATCAGTCGAATCAATCCGAATCATGCTCCTGCACCTAGTTATGTTTTTATCGTGCATGTGCTTTTCCGTAACCGTCGTTCGGAGCATGGTTTCTCAACCCGTCCCCCTTCCCCTAGCAGCCCTTCACGAAATTCACACATACGCATGTTATGCACTCAAATGTTCCCTGTGGGAAAAACGAGTGTGTTGAAATGATCAAATCGCGTGTCGATCGACCCCTATTCCCCTACACCATTTGAGTACAGGTAGCAAAATTGGAATTTCCGGGAATGAGGCGGGGCGGATTTGTTTGTTTTCCCCTTCTATTCACATCTACAATAGTTTCATGTTTTATTCAGGGCAAGCGGTAGTTTTTCTCACATGGCTCCCGTTTCACTGTCGCAAGCGGCGCGCGGAGTGGTTGTTTGCGCACGCACACACGGGCATTTGTTGGTGTGTCATTTGCCAACTCGTAGGAGGAAGCTCTTTACAATGAATACTAATCAGACACGATCTGATACCGTTGAATGGCTGGAAAACAATGAGGCAAGAGACGTTTCGCAGTTGATTTGAGCGAAATGACAGAAAGGCTCATTCCTGATCGCATTTGTTTAGCCACTAACTCTCCTCCTCTTTTGTTGAAATGCTTCTTCGTTGTAACCGCTGTGATTCCTGTTTTGAATTATCGCTATATGAAACCCGAAATCACCTCATCACTCACGTTATAGACAGCTTGATTAACTGCAAGATCAAAGACTAGCACACAGAATAGCAGTCATGCGTCTCAACTCCCGAATCGAAGATTCTAATTTTGTGTTCCAGCAGGGCCAAAAAAGGTAAGTAATGCTGACAAGCCTCGAGCAGCAGGAAACAGCTGTCAGATGTTCTTTGTCGGTTGTCACAGGAAGAAATGCTAAATTTACTATCTTTATTATCCCCCCCCCCACACACACACATCCGCCCCACCCTCACTATCACCCATTGATTTGAATAGGTCCTCCTTATGGGGTGTTCGGTATTGGTTTATCGGTGCAGTCGTGTATTTTGACTGAAGTATGCATTTCACACACGTCTGAATTCAGACTGTGCCACACAAATCGTAGTACAACAACATATATATATATGTATAAAAGAAAAATGTTCCATGATTTGCATGTGGGCGGAATACTGACAGGTTGCTCAGGTCAAGGCAGATGAAGTTTCTTGAGGAATTCACAACCGGATTCTTCGGCTAGCCAAAGCCTGATCCGCAAGGCAGTGGGGCGGTGTGTGAAAACCTCAATCCACTGGGGGACGGTGTCCATTTTATCGGATCATACGCTCTTTGGACGGGGTCAGCCGTCCAAGATGCCCAATCGAGCCGGTGACCACTGCCACAACCAGGGAGGTATTTGTGGTTCATGCGCTTCTTCTTGGTTGGTTTGGACTCAGGAATTTTGGCCAGCTCCTAGGTGAACTACCAGTGGTGCACCAACCCGGTAATAGCCCTGGATGTCGGCTTTTCGTCCTCTCATTTTGGAGGGAAAACACCTCTAACATGAGAAAGCAGTGAGTAGGACTTTCTCAGCAAAGGCTATTTGAGCATTTTGTGAAGTGCAAGGGTAGGGTGACCAACCACAACCCCAGTCACCCACCCTCGATCATACTGAGGCTCCTGAAGGCTTTGACTGAAGTGTTGTTCTTTTATTCGGTCATATATGCAACTTTCCCCCGGGGAGTGCACTTATTTGACCAGCTGTATGCTCCGATAAATGCATACTATTTACGTAACCCCTAACGACCGTCATTTTTCTGGAACTGCTTTAAATGAACATACTTTGAATGACATGGTGTGAGGTTGAATGATGAAGCGATCTTCTAGACAAGAGACAGTTCATCAGAACTATTTTTTCCTAGCTGCCAAATTGCAAGCAGCGTTAGTTCTTCCAACCTTGAAGTTTTCATTTTAAGGTATTGTCTTTCTATGCAAATAGTCAAAGTGAAGTCATCCAATGTGGACAGAATTTTCAGCAAAAAGAATGTTATCACTTTGCTTTGGCATACAAGCTATTAAAAATGAGTTTAAAGATATGACAAATAATTATGTAGACGATAATGAAAAGAACCCGAGAACATGTAGCAAATGAAGAAAATTTCCATTGAACTGTGGATAAGTTCGTTTGATATTCGCTCCATAGAAAACAACAAACGTGAAAGGTAAGGTACAAAGGAGTTGTGAGAAACTGTGGTACGAGCATATAAAGGTTTAAATTTATTGCGGGTGACAGAAGTTGAAATGGAGCGAGAGAGGGCTGAGTGTAAAGTATGTGATGTATCGGAAAAGATAGAGTCACAGAGACGGTCACACGCTCTACGGTGTTCGTTAGCAATGGAATCAACCAGCGCCTCGTAAGATACGGTACCATATCATGAAATGCTTTTCAGAGAGCGTCTGATCAATATGCGATCCTTAGGCAATAGACTGGGGAAGATAACGGGAGAACAGTAGATGCAACAGCATAAAACGCACGAGAAAATAAGTTTAGAAAAGATGTACAGTGGCACCCTCAGATGTCGATGGTGTGAAATATAAAAGGTGAACTTTCTAACTTAAAAAACGTTTGTTCTACGTGATAGGATCATTCGTGGTCAGAAGACAGAAAACATCCAAGGTATTTGAAGTGTTGTGATCTTTCAACTTTTAAGTTATTGATTGAGATGTTGGAAACAGATGATTCAGACAGTGTTGATAGCCCACGGTTAATGAAAAACAAAGCTTCAATGTATTTGTCTTGGTTTAAAGAAAGGTGAACACAATGGAACCATTCAGAAACGGAACTTATCACTGATTGAAGGGCTGTTGTGGTAAGATGCACCATCAACTACTATGTCATCAGTATATCCAAACGTGAAAACATTTGAGGTGACTGGCAAGTTTTGGATGTAAAAGGAGAATAGAAAATGGGCTAAAGTTGCGGCCTGCATTACACCTTGGTTTGCAGTAACAGTGGAAGACCTAATACCATTGAGACAAGTGAACTGAAAAGGTAATATGCACTGAACAACTGCTTCAACTTGTTCAGGTTTCATTTGCAGTTCTGATCAATCCATCGAACCATTTGGAGACCAAACCCTGTGACCATGCAAGTTGAACGTAAGCATAATACCCACCTTACTACCGTGCTGCTGGTGATCAGACAGTTTTCCACTTTGCTTGTACACGATATAACACAATCTACCTTGGCAAGTTTAATGCAACCAGCTCACCTTGCGTATCTCAGCAGTAGTCTCCGGGGTTAGGACTTGGTTGTAAACTTTCTAAGTTGTGTACACGTTGAATGATAATTTCATCGTGCACGCTGCTTTTCGGTCCACTATTCATTTGCTACGAACTTCAGCGTATGGTCAAACCAAATCCTGTATTATTCTCACAAAACTCCTATTTATTCTATCTCGTTCTCTCATTGGCAATCTCCGTTCTTATTTCCCCCAGTCGCTTCAGTGGAGTTTGACCACGCGAGATGATTTGCCGTCGGGTATTCCCACGGCTGCTGTGTCTTCAGCCCCAATTGCATCAACAAGCGGAACTCCGGCAAGTGACTTATCCTTATCCATATCCTGTCCCGTTTGTGACAAACAGTTTCAAATGGAGACGGAGGAGGAGGTAAGTGGATAAATAACCAAAGTCCGATGATTTGGTTAATGAACTGAATGAATTTGTGAATGTATCCGCTGTAGTTTTGGTTAAATTTCTTCCGGATTCGCAGTCACCGAATCTGTCTATTGTTGTCTGGTGTGAGTACCACTTAGAAGCTTATTTTATCACACACCTTTCACTTTCATGCATAATCTGACCGCCGGGTAAATATCACCAACCAAAGTCTGTTCAACTCACCGGGCAAACTAACGGATACACACATTCCATAAAGCAGACAGCAAACCAACGAGGTCAGTAATGAGAGCGTTTTCATCAATAGATGTCTTGGTTTGTCTAGTCATTCATATGCTAGTTTATACGGATTTATATTTCCAGCTTCTAGATCTTCTTGTCTGTGTTTACATTAAACCTTCGGATTGAATGAATTTGCTGGTCGATGCGATAATTAGTTCACCCTACCTCCCTCACTTTCCCTCCGGTCATTTCAGACAATCCTACAACTTGATATGTCAATAGCCACTGATAGCTTTTTACATCATAACGTGGAGAGAGAGTTTGCCTATATGAAGGGATTTCGGTTCCACTCAATCATTACTGAGTTAGGATAAGCAGACATGTACGTTGTAACCATCTTCCATTGTAACATCTGATCTGATTGCGTCATAAACGTTTTACGCTCACTGAATAGCCTCGTCAGGTCGCTTTCCGTCTACATTGACTTCATAAAACGTTTTATTTTGATCATCGCATTAGCTCACTAGATTCTTGAGTCCTCCGTCATTTTTTTTTGGCTGGTCTATTCAACATTTCAATTGAATTCACCAAATCCTCCTAGCTTCTTCTAATTGGTAGTTGTGTGCATTTTATGCAGACTGCTCGCATGCAGAAGCCTCGGTTAGCATTTGCTAACTTGAACCATCTATGGCGTCGTCGCGACATCCGGCTGTCAGTGAAGCGTCTAGTATATGATGTAGCAGTCCGGCAAATGTTGCTTTACGGTGCA